CAGGAGAAGAGTCAAGTTTAAAAAAGAAATATTCTGGCTACATTCTTCCTTTTTCTGTTACTGTAAATATTTTAAAAAAACACCAATTTTAAAAGGAAAGACAGAAGGATTTTATTTCAGTCAAATGGTGAAGAAAATGTTTACCAGCTTGCAAGTCTACTCATCCTTACCTGGGAATAAGCTCAACTGAAGTGACATGATGCTCTTAGTCTTTCAGAAACAGAATCTTTAATATTCTACATTAAAATGCTCAATTAAAAAGTATTAAAATTCATTGTGATCTGGGGGATGCTACTGAAAATTAAAGGCTGCTCATCAGTTCTTACAAAGGTAGTAATCCTAAATGCAGTAGACTTGTTTCCAAGCAAAACTATATAGGATTGACTTCTAAATTTTTATTCATATTAGAACATTCAACACTCAGGGAATTGCACTGTGAAAACTACCAGAGACCCAAGGCCACAATGAATATACTTTCCAACGTGGTCAAATCACACATTCAACTGCCAGTCATTAATAATTTCATGCAGAAAAAAAACTAGGCTCTATATGTACCAGTAAATCAGACTATATGAACCAGCAGTAAATCAGCTGGCAATGGCGCATGTGGCCACAGAGAAGAATCTGCATATCACCTCTGGCACGTGTGCCATAGATTCGCCATCACAGGCATAGGGCCTTGTTTCTGTTAACATTTTTTCTTTCTGAAAACAAAAAAATTACATCCTATACTTAACAATTTAGAGAAATTAGACTGCAGCAAATATATCAATGCACCGTAAATTATTTCAAGTATATTATTCTCATTTTATATATGGCCTCAACTGTTAACTGTTGCTAATAATTTTATATTTTTACCTTATTGACAAATATAATCTATATATTAATTAATTTCTTTAATTTCTTGACTTCTAATTTCTGAAACAGTGTGAGAAATGAGTCCACCATCGCCAGAGTCAATGCAACGGTAGCTATGAACAATACAAACTCTATTTAGTAAAAAAATATAAAAAAATGGACTCTCAATATTGGGCCAGTTCTCTGAATGAAACCTGACCAGGACTGAGTATCGAGGAACAATTATGAACAATTATGACTGGTGACCTGAACTCTCTATTTCTGTTACTGCATGTGAAGATGGCATCAGCCTTTTTCACAACTGAATGGCACATCTGGCTCATGTTTAATTTATGATCGCCTAAATTCCTTTTATACTCTCTATTGCCCCTCCAAGTTTCCTCCATCCTATATTTGAGCCTTACATTTGTCCTATCTTGATGCAGAACTTTGTATTTCTGCTTATTAAATTCCATCCTGTTCATTTAATTTGTGGAATTTTCTTTCATCTAAAATATTATTGATCTCACCCAGCTTTCTGCCACTTGAAAACTGATCAATGTTATTCATCAAAATGTTGAACTGTGGAGGCCCAGCACAGACCCCATTGGCATGCTACTTAATACTTCCTCTAAGCTGAAATGAAGCCAATAAGCACTCTTCAGTGCAGTCATTCAGCCAACTGTGAATACATATAACTCTAGTATCAAATAGCATTATATTTACTTTGAAAGAGATCAGAATATAAAATTAAATTTATGGCAGTGTATTATGCTTCACATTTAGGTGAAGAAATAGACCTAAGTGGGTCAGTAACTCAAATTACATTAAAGGGGGGGAAAAGTATCAATGAGGTTGAATTATTCAACCTTTCTCCATGGTATATACATTTATTTTTGGATATTTGCAGACATACAACATGTGATTTCTTTCCTCCTGTTTTTTTAGTATTCTTCTGAACACAACAAAAGAGGAAAATAATAAGATAGTATTTCTCCATAATTCTGATTTTAAAAAAAACCAGATGGGAATAGAATAATCAGAACAAAGCTCAACTTCCTAGCAATTATAGAAAATAGGAAGTTAATTTTAATCTTTTTTCTACAATGGAACAAAAGTATTTTTAAATAAATGCCAATTAAATTAAATAATTCTTAGAAATTGAGGTGTCATCCCACTTCTGTTTTTCAGAACATAGCCATAAAATTATAAGTAAATTGAAGGGCCATTAACCACATTCTTAAATCACTTTGAACTCTTCTGTTTATGAATAATTGAATTATTCACCTGTACTGTTATCACCTCCAAATTCTTCAAGTTTATTTAGCCCAGTAGTAATCTTCTGACGGAATATATATTGTGACAGATGTTGGAATGCTGCTGAAAATAGCAATTTTTTCTTCCAGCCAACCCACATTCTGCTTATACAGTACTCCATTATGTCACAAGCTCAGTTTTCTTTTCTCGTTGTCTGCTCTGCTCATGGAATGAAGAAACACATGCCATAACTAAACATAAACAAACAAATGTAGTGTCTACCTGGTGAGCCCCTAGGCACCAGCCCCTGCCCTGGAGTTGCCATTTCTTTATTACTGCTTCTGCCCATTCACTGGCGCTCTCTTTTAGACCCAATCCACAATGGCCCATTTTTCTTCATTCATTGCCCTGTCAGGTAGAGGGCAGTGGAATTGGGAAAAGCAACCAGGGACTGCAGCAGAGCCCCTTGTACTGGAACTTGACAGAGGATTCCCTGAATAACTGTGGGTCTTGAAAATGGCCAGCAATGCCAATCCTGAGTAGATGTACAAGTCTTTTTGGCTTTGCCCAAAAGGATGGTGATATCCATGACACTGACAATTTGGAGAACTTTTAATTTTGGATGTGGTGGATGAATGCTTAGTTACAGTTTTCAGTTTGGATCTTTTTTCCTCTTCCTTGCACAGTGTTTGCACCTGAACACAATGATTAATTATCTAAGCCAAGGGTGTCAAACTCGTGGCACACATGCGTCACGTGCTGGCCCCGCCCCTGCCCGGTTTAGCAAAGGGGGGAAAAGTCTCGATACATCACATGATGCTGCTGTGATGACCCAAGTTTGACACCCCTGATCTAAGCAAAAAGACACCTTGAAGTGTTCAAATTATCTTTCCGGGATTTCTTTCTGACAATGACTTAATTATACTGCATATATCTTGAAATCAAATCAACAAACCTGATTGAACAAGGGATGGATATACCAGGCTCCTAGAATTAACCAAGGTAGGGAAAGCATGCAGACGATGGCTTCTAGAATTCTTTTCAACCTTGAAACTCTGCCTCACTGGGAAGGGGAAGAGGGGTCTTAGAATGGAGGAGTTAACTACATTTCAAACAACTAGCCAACTGCCTCTTCAAAAATGGGGGATTTTTTCCTTGAATTTCTCTCTTCCCAGCCCAACCAGATTTGCCCATTTTTAATCAATGTTTCTATTCTCCCCCAACACCAAATTTGCTTCCATTCTGTTTGGAGTTATTGTTCTGTTCTGTTTTCGGAGAGTTATCCTGTTGAGGGAAGCCCAAGACCCTTCACAGAATTTCTGTCACACATTTGTTTGGGTTGGAAAGAATAATCCATAATGCTTGCGGAAGATGGCTATTTACTTATAATTAAAGAACAATTTGTCTCCAAGGATGCAGATTGAACTAGGAATTTGTGACCTTTCCTGCCAATGAAGGCAGACTATGAACAATAATCCATTTTTTGGCTTCCTGTCTTTTCTTTGGGCAATTTCTTTAAAAAGAGAGAGAAAATGTGTCTGCTTCTTGAATAACATTGTGGTTATTTTGTTATCAAGAACCATAATATCTTGCAGTTTTGCTTATTAGTTTCTAAGCCTTTTTAGATTTAAAACACTTCAGAAAAAAGTGTAAAATCTTAACACAGAATATAGAAATGTAATAAATTTACAATTCTCCTTCAATAACCCAGAAAAGATAACATTTATGTTTTAACTGCATGTTTTAAAATCACTGCATTCTTGCACATTAATAACCAGCAAGGGAAGGAGAAAGGAAGCAACATGAAAACTGGTACAATAAATGCAGGGTGGTCTGTAAAAACAACTTTGGAAGTAAAACATGGAAAGACTGACTGATCATCAGAATAATATTGGGTCTGTTAATGATGCTATTATGCAACGAGGTTTAAGAACTCTGTGTAATAATGCTTAAGACAATATTGCACTACTTACAGCATATAGTTCTATCTAAAGTGGAAAAAAGAAATATTTAGTTTATATTTAAAGGAAATAAAAAATAGTAATGTAATATTTCAAACACAATTATCCAATCCTATTATGTTTTATCCATTATTTCCATTCATAAAATATAGTTGGGACATTTTGATTTAATTTCAAGCAAATTTCATTCCATGAGAGTTGAGAACTTTTAGTCATTAATGGCCACATTACTTTTCAGCAGATAAGTATTTTTGATATCATGTATAAATTTGTCTCAGATTTCATTAAAAATACTATGGTCTTATATGGATAAATATAAGTAACATCAGTTTCCATCTTACAATTCAATTCAAGACTCAGTAGTACTAAAATTTATTTCAAATTCTACAACCCTGTAATACTTTCAAACTGCACGTGACCTTGGTTTAAAAACTTATTTTAGAATACTGATTTTGAGAAGAGGAAAAGGAGGGAGGAGCCTGGATATGAACATGTGAACGATAACTATGGAAAACAGTAAAATTAATGCCAGAATCCAAGACAGGTGAATTTCAGTGCCCTGATATCTGGAATTCAACTTCATGTTCATTGCAATTGACCCACAAAGACTCCAATACTGTTTTAAATTAATCCCTACAAATAGGTGGGCCAGAACCATGTAGAATATGGATTTCACAATGGAATGCAACACAATTTGGGCTGGGCAGATTCCCAGACTCACCTGCACCACTCTTGCAGTAAGCAGTGCTCACTGAAACCATCAATCTTCTCACTGGGACTGCAATATGTAACATGCATTAAATTATCTTTCTCAATAATTGAATTGTTATATCCTTAAAGATATGGCAAAATGCCAATAGGAAAACTTGGTCAACAAAGGCTACTCCAACCAGCCTTTTAAATTTCATTATTTTTAAAAAGGAATCATACCAACAACAATAATAATAAAGATGTGTTATCTGTATTCATCAGGAATTTTGATTCCAATATACATAAATAATATTCACATATTTTATATATCCTGCCAGAAAAAAATTATGCTCAAGTCTTTTTCTTTAACAGAAGTGGGGAGCTCTTTGAAAGATCCATTTTTAAGTTTTGAAAAAGCTATTTTTATCCCAAAGTGTTGTCTGTGATATCTACCATAGTAGTGACAAAAATGTATTGCAAAATAAATTTTACTTTCAAATTCATTTTGATGTGTTCTGTGTTGCCTTGCGTGATATTGTTTCTAGATACTTGAAGGTCAAACAACCAGATTTCAGATTTTCAAAGACAGATAGGTGTGAAGGCTGAAAAACTCCTCTGCAAACTCCAGCTTTTACAAAAAAATCCCTAAAGAAGCACCATTATACCCAGGTGAGTCTTAATCACAGGAATTAAAATTGGTAAAGAATGTCTCTTTACAGGATTATTCTACACTTTTTGAATACTGTACAAATAAAAAGAGTGAGATCCTTGGGAAACTCCAGGATTCATAGACAAATGTTAGTTATTGCAACTTAGTTGAAAGAAATCTTGGCCAAATGATAAACATCACTGGGCAATTTTGTCATGATGTATGCAAAAAACAACTCTGCACTGAATGAAGATTTCCATATCCTAAAGTGACAGATTGAAAGAAGTTGCCTTTTCCTAATCCATTTACTCATGAACAGCAACAAATGGTCGATCCACAGCATTGTTGATAATAAAAAGAGGCAAGGGTCTCAGAGGCACTGGGAATGGTTGCCAGTCTGAACAGACTGAAGATGTTTAGAAATTTCAAAATAGCAGTCAAAGAACTTGAAATCTGGGTGCTATTAGTGAACTTTTGTTGCCTTGCATTGCTTTGCTCATGCCACCAAGTTGAGGGAAGGGGGGGAAGCAAATGACAAACTACCAGGAATCCGCATTATTTGGGTAGGACAATGTTTACTACAACGGTCAATCTCAATAGTTGCAGCTGTTCCTGTGGCTGGGATATTAATTCAGCCTTTCAATCCTTCAAAATCATGCGCCACTTTTTCTGTTGCAAATATACAAGGTCTTTTTCTGCCATATACTGCACAAATTGTTTTGGTCATATAAAATGGAATTTTTGAATTATCTACATGCGGAAGAGTGCAGTACTTCTCTCATCATTCTGAAGGTCTTATTTAAACACACTAAGTCTTTTCTCAAGCCTGAAATCTCAAGTGGTCCATGTAAACAAGACACAGCTAATGTAGATTGTTCTGTCCTTTTTCCTGGAATAGTTTTTATCGATATGCATTATTTCCTGAAAGTGTTGTATTGGCTAGATGTAAAACTGGCAGGGGGTGAGCTTCTGTGTTAAAAACCCAGTGATCCAAAGGTAAGAGATCATCATTGGAGAAGAGCAGATATAAATACCTATAAAGTAAGAGAAACAAGATCTGTCACTATACAAGATACACAAAAGTTACCATTGAGACTACATCGAAGACTGCATGACCTGAGGGTCTGCTTGTGCAACAGGGCTATTTTCTGTTTGCCTTCACTATCTCCCTCTATCAGCCATCTGAGAAGAGAGGAGACATATGTACAGGGGGCCAAATCAAGAAAATTCTGTTGATGGCATCAGGACACATTCCACTGTTGACTGCTCAAACCCATTAACTACAGAGTATAAAATAATGCATATCGTCTAATTAGATACAAGTATTATAATTAAAATTTTCCCTTTGAATAAGATGCCTTATCACTCATGTATTGTAAGTGTACTAAATTTAGCACTAATTGCTACTGTTGAAGATTTAAAGCATTTCTAATAGTACAGTAAGTTCTAAACAATCATGATCCACACTACCAAAAAGGCTCTTCATTTATAATGAACATCTACAATCTGTCAATGAGATCCCATTCTTGTGTCACAGTTTGTAAACTCTTTGTTGGTGGAGCCAAGCTTTTTCTTCAATTCTCCTGTTCTGCAACATACTAAAATCCACATAACGTGTCAAGAATTTCTAAATTCTGCACACTTGCACAATTTCCCCTTCGCGCTCTTGGGGCACAATTGCAATATCTGTGTATTCACTATATTCCTCTAGGCAATTTCAATGTGTGATAATATGAGATAGAGTCACAGAAATTACAGAGGATAAAGGGCATCCTTGTGTAAGTGTTGCAGAATAGATTATAATTCCTTTTAGTTAGGAAGGAGAAAAAGTAAAAAATAAAAAGGAGACTGTAGACATATGCACTGGCAACCTGGTGGGATAAAATCTCCAGCAGTGATAATATCCAACAGTTTATTGCCATTTAATGCAGCCATGTGTTTGTTATGTATTTTATAAAATATTCTATTTTCTATAATATTTATGTCAATATGTAACTGCTGAATATTTCTTCTAAGAACCTCAATTTCCAAGATTGCTGAAACAAATCTACTTACTTTAGAGTTTCAGCAAGAAAGAAGCTTTGCTGTACATCATCATATGTAGGAGCTGAGGAGTAGACATCCTTGACCCCGGAAAATCCACCACTCACTCGGCAGTACTTATCAATGGCCTTTAAGTGGAACAAACAGAATGAATGCTTTATTAGCCAGAAATTCAAAATTCGATGTAGTTGACACAGATTCAAATAATATAGATATTATATACTTAGAAATGAAAGGAGGGTAATAGTATAATTTACAATGGTTGAGATATCTTGTAATCATGTGATCACAATTTGTAATCTTCGCAGCTAAAAGCAGCCAATTGGGGGAGCCAGATTTGCTTAAAAATCTTGTGATACACTCTACAACCATGCTTAATGTTCAGTCACTTAATGTTGGTGATAAATATGGAAATATGGTCATAAAATTGGGTTCTGTCACGTGATAACTCGTTTTACTATTGTATCACTTAAGCAACCAAAATTCATAAGCTACCTGTGTCTGTAAAGCAGTAGCATCCTGAACACAAGTTTCAAATTTTGTACAAGGCTATTTTTGTATTTCAGATTTGTATGATTGAATCTTTACATGAGACAACTAATAACTCTAGAAATAAATTAAATAAAATAATTTTTACTATTTGTCCACCAACAGAATAACTCTCTGAAAACAGAACAGAACTGAGATTAAATTTTGTATGTAGGGAGAAGGATGAAAATGAGAAAAATCTGAAAATAGCCAAATCCAGGTATGAGAAAAATAATCCAAGAAAAAAAAATCCCCCAATGCATGCCCTGGAATGTTGACTACGCTTTCATTCCCAGTCTCCTCCCTCTTTCATTGGTGGGGCCCAGAGCAGAGCTATTATAAAAGAGGTTGTAATTGGGGGGAAATCCAGGTGTTATGCCCTGCTTCCTTCCCTGATTATTTTGTATTTTTCAAAATGTCTTGAAGCATTTCACTTCCAAAATTATTAGACTGAAGATTAACTGGAATTTAAAACAGCCCTTTTATAAACAGAGAAGCTTCTTCAATAATAAGATCCAAAGTCCCTCTATTACAGTGTTTCTCAACCATGGTAACTTGAAGAGATATGGATTTCAACTCCCAAAATTTCCCAGCCAGCATGTTCTGTTAGAATGCATTGAGGTTATCTCAATATTCCTTTCTAGAAAGTTTCAAAATACATGCAAACTCTTTTTCTACAAAGCAGCCTCTATTTGGCACACTACTTCTGATTGTGAGGGAAATTTGATACTGGCTGTCCTTCTTGGAAAAGACTTGAAGCACTCTTTTCTTGTGGTGCAGCTGCTAAGTTACATCGTGAAAAACCTCCATGAAAAAAAATCAAATTTTTAATTAGATTTTCATTTCAATGCTTATTTTATGATTGAATGCATTATTGTAAGGCAGAGTTTAAATATTTTTTAAAAATCTAAATGTAAGATAAAAATATTCTGTAGGCAATATTAGAAACTGGAAATTGAAGTCTTTTTCCCCAATATTCTCAGTCATCAGATTTTTTTTAAAGCCTTTTTTCCTTAGGTCTCCACAAGCAAAGAAGGAACCATCTGGGGAAAAAAATGAGCATCACATTTTCAATTTCTTACTATGCACAATATGAAGGTTGGCAGGTAAACTGTGAGAGGTTTTTTTAGAAGGCTAGTTAATACTTACCTGTGCTGCCTCCCAGCCCCACTGCCTGTACTTAGGATCATGTGTGAATCGCCACATATACCAGTACGTCTCAATCACCTCCGGTCTTAATATGTAGTATTTTTCATTTTGCCGCACTGCTACTGCCTCTAAACCTCCATCAAATTTGAAAGCTTCAGGCCCCAGTTTTAAAGCTGCAAAGGAAAATGAAGAAAATTAATGCAGCAACTTCTTATATAACTTCTAAGTTCAACAATTCTACTGTAAAAGAAACATTAATATATGTTTTAATGGTCCCAGAAATAGTTATGATGGTTCTTATGAATCTAATCAGGTCTGTAACAGCTTGATAAAAATCTAAATTCATTTCACAATTTTAAGCATATGTATGTTTGTAGAATATCTAAGAAGTATTTAACATACTCTAAGATTCATATCTTAGGGAACAATAAGTGAACACAAAACTCACTGCTGTTTTATATTTATATATTGTCTATTTGCTGGCCACAACCTTGAAAAAAATTGGCACTATGTAAAAAAAAGCTATTACGTCTACATAACTTTTATGGAGAAGTGAGCAGCACATTAGTTATTCCCAAAATATATCAGTTTCACTATATGAAACTCCTTTCAAACTCTGAAATTTGGGCCCACTAAGTGGAGCCCTAAATATCCCCCTCTTCTCTCCTAAAAAAGCAAAATCTTACCTTAGTCTGGTTTGGAGAGGCCAACCTCATTTTTCTCACCTTCTCTGCACAGAATGTAACTGCTAAAGGAGATACTGCAACTTCTCCTTTTTGAAATCTTGGGAAGTGAAATACAGGTTCCACTGTCTCTCTTCATTAGCATATTTTCCTGCCAATTTCATGATTTAACTCCCACAAGGAGATGTCACAGTATCAAAGCTAGCAACAATCTTTTCACCTTTGAAAGAGCTAGGGGGGTTGGGAATGAGGGCAAAGGCCAGGAAGCTAGGTAGATCCTTACTATTGCTTACTATCATATTGTTGGGGCAATGTCTACTATCTCATCCTAAAGTCAGGTGTTTTGCTCCTGGTGAAATTGTGGATTTAACAACACATCCTGGGGGCCTGTTATTTTAATGATAGTTAAAACGATAATTTGGTTTTAGTGACAGAGACAGACAAGACAGTCATAGTGAACCTGTTGGACAAAAATAGCTATGTGCCACCTTGGTCAAACACACCCCATCCATTCCACAGGCAAAACCATCTCAATTAATTCAACTACAAACCTTACGATCAAAACCCATTGTTACTATAAATATCACTACTTTCAGCATACCTTTTGATTACTATACTGTATATTATACTGTCAATTATACTGCCTCTGATCTATGCAACTTGCCCTGTGTGTTCTTTAAAATGACCCAGTATGGATTTGAACCCAGAAGTTTCTTCCAACAAAATTTTCAAGTTCCTTTTGAACTATAGGCTTTTCTGCTTACCCAAATAGCTTCTGCAGGAAACAGAACATCTACACGAAATAGTAATGCAACTCCATCATTCATTTCTGATGCAAGATGTAAGATACAGCTTACATATTTTTTACTTTTACCTAACCTGACAAATCCATTTTATTTTCAGATGGAGGAGAAAATAAGTCTTTTATGGTTAATTATATATTATCTACATTTATGTAAGATTTTTGTGCAAATAAATTTGTTAAATTTATGTCAAAATATTTTTTGAAAAATATAAGTCATATATAGATTATATGTATCCTAATGCAAATAAAAACATTGTCAGAAAATTTATCTTACTTTATCTTACCTTCAGAAAGCCTATCTTGCAAAAGACATCCCCTCCAAAAAAGAGAAGTTGATGATATCTCTAGTGTTTATTAAGAGATTACTTGGTCACAGAGTTTGAGTTTGCTACTAAGCTGTGTAAAATGGTACTTCATTGCAAAGCCTATATGTTGGGCTACTGCAGTAAGCAAACAGATTACTAAGATTTACACTCTATTTTCTTCCTGTGTGAGGCTGTGAAAAACAGGCAGAAGATGAGTTCAGTGAATGCAAGAAGACGCAGCATGACCTAAGGCCGGGATGGTGAACCTATGGCATTCGTGCCACAGGTGGCACGCGGAGCCATTTGTCAGGGCACTTGAGGTCAGTGATGGCGAACCTTTTTTGGCTCACGTGCCAAAAGAGGAGGGAGCGGAACTTTAGTGTTTTTTGGGGGTCATTTTTCACCCTCCCCAGGCTCCAGAGGCTTTATAGGAGCCCAGAGAGGTGAAAACAGCCCCCTGCCCCCCCCCCCCGAGGCACTCCGTAGGCTTCAGAAGCTTCCCTGAAGCCTCTGAAGTGCAAAAAACTAGCAATACGGGCAAACCGGAAGTTCGGGAATGGACTTCCGGTTTGCTCGTAGGGTCTTTTTTCGTCCTCTGGCGCCTTCAGGGAAGCCTCCTGAAGGCTTTGGAGGACTAAAACCGGCCCTATGAGCAAACCAGAAGTCCGTTCCCGAATCTCCGGTTTGCCCAAAGGGTCATTTTTTTGCGCTCCGGAGGGAAGCTCCTGAAGCCGACAGAGGGCTTCGGGGGAAGGAGGAGGCTGTTTTCGCCCTTGCCAGGTTCCTCTAAAGCCTCTGGAGCCTGGGAAGAGTGAAAAAAGCATGCAAAAAAATGGGTGGCAGCACCTGTCATGCGCGCATGCATGATGGGGGATCGTGCATTGCATTATGGGTGTGGCACACCCACACATGACTCCCACCTGCGCTCCCCACTCTTTTGGCAGGTGAGCCAAAAAAGGTTCACCATCACTGACCTAGGGAAATGATCTGAAATTAATAGGAAGAAATTTCCTACTATTCTGACTTCTCCTGTTACATGGAATTATTGCTGGTTAAACTCACAGCATCTGTTAGCGTTCTCACAGTTAGTTGAAAAGAGAAATGGTGCCAGGTTTTATGATGGGTTGTGCGGGATGAGAATTATATTCAATACATCCAGCAACATATTCTTTATTTAAACAAAAATACCTGATTTAGGAGCAAGCCTCCTCTTCACAGAATTCAATTGTACCTTATAGCAACTGCAAAGGCAAGTCTCAGGAAAACAAATTTAAAACCTAAGAGAGGCAAGGATACTTACTTGTCCTGTCATAGGATTCATGACATGTATGTGCAATTTCTGCTCCAAGTTGTAGGTAATGTCCAGCCTTCTCATCTCGGGAACCATCAGCTCCAAGGGCAAACATGCCCCCAGCAAAGCATGTGAGATGCCCCATCTTTCTCTCAAGGTGCCCATTTTTCCATTCCCCAATAAAAGTTAGGCCCCCATTCGACTTTCTGATAAGATGCTTCTCTATGGCCTGCAGTGGAATACATAAGTTTAATTACCATGACAGGTCAAAACATTTTTTCATTCTCTCTTAATATTTCTCCTCCAAGACACTAGATCTCATGAAATTACAGAACAGAACAAGAACTGTATAGTTACTCTATTTCCCCCCACCCCTCCATTAAAAGAGATGTGGGGAAAGAAAAAGAAAATGTAAACCACTTTCACAGAAGAGTTAAGCACTGAGCTCCTTTTATACTTTCCACATGGAAAAGTGATGACCACTATTTAGGAAATGTTACCCTTATTCCTCCATTCCTTGCTTCACTTTTTCTATTAGTGACATTTTTTGAAGCAAGTGTGTGAGCACTGTGTGTTTAAGGTCAATTGGAAATATTTTGGACACAGCTTTTCTTTATGTCATTAAGAACTAAGATGGCAACAGATTGAATAATTCACTTAGATCAGGCAGTTCATACCCTGGCCTAATTTCCCTAGTTCCCTGAATCTTTGTTTTGCCAAAGACAAACTTTTGTACCATTAGTGGATTCTTATGCAATTAAAGTGAACCTCAGTTGTATTATAGCACTTTAGTCAATGGCCAAAGAGAAATCTGGTTGTTTCCATTTTTCCTCAAATTTCTGAAAAGGCATGTGTTTTGTATCAATTTAGCAAGACTCCTGGCTTTCTCACATTGTTAATAAAAGCACAAATTACTATCAAACTGTCTTTTCTTCCTTGGATATGACCAAACATTCTATAAAATAAACATTGACACATTTTTCTGTTATTAGGTCCCTTGAGTAAGTGAGAAGAGAAAGCAAACAAGAGATTTTGATTTACACAAAGAAACAAACACAAAGAGTACCTCCCCTTGACTTCATTAACTGAAAAGATCATGGGTAGACATAAATTTTGTAGGTTTGTTTACTGTTTGTTGGAAGGTAAGAACCTCCATTATACCTCTGCTAGCCAAGCTAGACTTCAATCTCAATCACTCCTGATCCTCCAGCAACCTCAAAATAAAGATACAATGTAGCCACTTAAACTTTTCCACCCACATTGACACTTGGGCTGCAATTGATTAAGCATGGCCCTTCAGAAAAATCATTGGCAAAATAATCATGAAACAAAATCCCCTCAAGATAAAAGAAATATTTTATTACAACATACTCCTCAGGGATCAGACCCCTAACCTAAAACTCTAATGTCACACCCCTCATAAAATTCCACACCAAAAAGATCAGCACACCCACATGGGCAAGAGACTTTGCTCTCTGGGCATCCCTACATCACGAACACCTCACTTTGTACATCTAATGCACAATCAGTCATTATTACTATAAATACTACTATTCTCTGTGTTCTGATCTTGTGGCTACCTTCATCAGCTGATTTATACATTGACTTTGCTATCAAATAAACTGCCTCCACCTCACATAGGCATCCTGTGCTCATTTACCTGGCCACAGAACAGAGCAGATTTTCTTCTAACACGTTCACCTCAGCAACATGGAAATCATCCAAACTGCTCTTTTAATTTGGATGAGGAACTATCATATCTTCATTTTCTTCCTAAAGATTACAGGGATATGTGTGCAAATGAAGACCAACTGCCTTCTTGGAAGTTAAAGTAAAGGAGGTACAAACCCATTGTTCTTAATTATGGAAGATGTGGAATTCTCAGAATGGACTCATATATGAGAATAGTGAACCGAACTAAAAAGACTTTCAGAATTTAAAAGAAAGTCCTGAGAGCAAGTGATTTCTGCAGGCAATCTCTTGTTTGCCTAAGCAAAGTTCCTCCATTAGACCCAGAGCACAGAGATTGGAGAGGAAGAGATTTCAAGAAAGTAAACTGTTTGGTCTTATACACATCAAAGCAATGAGATCACAATAGCTGTGGGGAAAGTTCAGGCAAAGGAGCAGCTGCCTGTAGTTATTTTCTTTATTCTTTTGCATTATATGTGATGTATATGCACCCATGCACTGAGTTTCAGGAATTTTCACATGAGTCCAGGTAAGAATGTTCAGATAAAACTACAAAGAAGGGAAAGCAATAAAGTTTTTATTGTAGAAGTAAATTATAGACTATGAAGCCAGATAGAAGATCTAGATGTGGAACCACATTGAAAAACTTTCAGGGATAAGAGCTACAGTAATGATGGGAGTCTTTCATTGCTTGGACATCTGATGGATGGATAGCCAAGACAGTAAGGCCTCAAACATTACTCAATGATCTTACTGCCTCCTTTTACAAAGTGCAGAAGATGAAAAAAAAATGGCTCTCTGGAGCTGATCTTAAAAGAGAACAGTGAGCTGGTTGAACAGGTAAATGGAGTGAGAACCATGGGAAGAAGTAATCACATTATCTTGGAGTTCAAGAACTGCAGAAAGGTTTTTGATTAAGAGTTAAAACTGACAAATAGAGAAAACAGTTAATGATTAAGGAGGTATATCAGCTAAAGCTCTCACACCCACTATCAATAAAGAAAAATACATTTGCTCAGTGATATACACAGATCATGCAGATTTTCATACCTCACTTTCAAGGAGAAAAATTACTTGTTAGAGGATAAAAATGTTATTACTTCAAGAAAGTATATTATGTAAGGATGACAGAGACAACGATATGGGAGTCAACTTATATAAGAAGAATCTAAATAAGGCTTGCTTCATACCAGAAAAAAAGAACATAGCAGATTAAAGCCACCATTAAAAGACAAAAGAAATAAATCTGAACAGTTTCATAAAAACAAACAAGATCAATAAACATTGGAAGAATTAAATAAATCGAAACATCATTTAGATTTAGTGGAAACAGAAGAACTCCAAAAGAAGACAAAGTGTACCAAACAAAATTATTTTCAAAATAAAAGTAAACCAGGGAAGCATATCGAATTAGGAAAGAGAAAGTAAAAAGGAGGATAACAGCAATAAATATATTAAATAAATATAATAAGCTAATAGATATATGGTCAGAAATAACAGCAGAACTTGCAAATTTTAGGAACAAGTCATTTAGAAGAGAGAGAGGGAGAGAGAGAGAGAGAGAGCAGAAATAACAGCAGAACTTGCAAATTTTAGGAACAAGTCATTTAGAGGAGAGAGAGGGAGAGAGAGAATTCGGATCTTAAAAATTTACTTAAAATAAGAAATTTTAAGCAAATTACTAACAATTCAAGATATGAAAAAACAATAAAGAAAATTAAAATTAATAAAGCTTTGTATGGTAAATAATTAAAATAACTAGCAGAACTACTGCTAAAGGCAATGAATAAAATTGAAATAACAAAAACAATTTCAAAGACTTGGGAAAGGGCATTGGTACTTACCTGATACACCTCTACTAATAGAGTGGAGATAGCATCCACTTATGGGTTAATCCTGTCCGTTCTCCTATTGGACTGAGTCTGATTAATAATTAATTAGCCACCTATATAACCCGTCTGTGAGTGACTCCACTCAGATTTGCGACAAAGAACAAATACACGGACTCCANCCCCCCCCCCGGGTCAATGGTGTCCCTCTTTACCAATCTGAAAATCTGGTCACCTTATGCATAGCACACATCTGGTGTGCGGGCAGGTTGCGAACCAGTAGTAAAACTGGCAGCAACCCACTCCTGATCCGGCTGGAAGAACTCCAACAGGGGAGCATTTCCTCCCAACAGCAGTGTAAAAAGCTTAAAAGAACCCTTACCCTTTAAGAAAGTCAAGCCCCAGCAAAGTACCAGCAAAGGGTGTGTGTGTGTGTGGAAACAACCATCCGGAGTCAGTAAGTCTACGCGTACTGCCAAGAATGTGATAAGGGTTAATGGAGACACAGTTTCTGTAAGCAGGTCAATAAAGATTAGGCTAGAAACAACCCCAGAATGTTTCTTTCCTGCCTTCCATACAGGATTAACCTTGTAAAGTGGGAAAAAAACAAAAGGATATTTCTTCTAACAGCTGGTTCTCCAAACTGCTTAGAAAATTAACTACCGGTTCTAGCGGATAGGCTACAACCGGATGAATCTGTTATGAGGCCTTTGAAAACAGAGGGATTTGCATGCAGATGAAGCTTCCACTATCCGCCAGGTCTCCATCTGGGCGAAAAGTGTCCCAGTGGGGGAGGAAAGAAGTTGAGGGGAGAGGGGAGGAGCAGGAGACAGGTGCTGGAAACACTTTTTGTGCCGAGGTGCTTCCATCGACTCTTCTCTCCCTCAAAGCGGAAAAAAATGTAGCAAAGGAGAGAGAGATCTTTACAAGGTAAGTGAATCTGGCGCATTAGGGAGTGGGAAGCATGAGGTATCTTAGTAGGTTGTGGAGACCTTTGGGGCCTGTTCCATCAGTAGTTCAACCCCCCCCCATGGCCTTCCCCACTCATGTGCACTTAATGAACCGTGCATTTACCCACACATTAAATTAGTGGATGCGTGGGTGAAAGCAGGGAGTGATCTTGTTCAAGGTACGAAATTCACTCCCACGAATTCTCAAGGTATGAATAGAATGGGCACGCTCCATTACATTTGTAAATCGAGGACTACCTGTACAGTAGTGATATGGGCAGTTAATTTAATAAATAAATAATAAAAATAAACATATTCTGACACTTCTTGAATAAAGGCAATGCAGGGGACAACAGGATCTTTTTGGCAAGTAGTAACACGTAAGAGACTCTCCCTGCCAAGTCTCCATCGCGACTGTTCTTCTCAGACTGTTTATTTCTAATCTCAGCATAGTCACCAAGGGAGAATGACAAAACTCACGGGAGATGTTGTATGGTGGGGAATGATACTGGTAAACGAATAATAACATTTTACGTTTGCAATCTTTGTAGATTGAAAGGGTACAGAACCCTTACCTCTGGCAATCCTATCAAGTCAAGAAAAAGGAAATAGATACACAAAATGGCCATAAAAACAACGAGAAGGTCCTTTTCCATGGGACTCCCCGTTCCACACTGGTGCAAATTTATCAGACTGGCTTTAACCGCAGTTATGCTGGAAAGAATGGTAAGTTCCTTCCAAGCAGATGTAAGGGACTATGAAAGCAATAGACTTATATATCGCTTCATAGTGCAACACTCTCTAAGCAGTTTACAGTGTCAGCATATTGCCCACAACAATCTGGATCCTCATTTTACCCACCTGGAAGGCTGAGTCAATTTTGAGCCTGGTGAGATTTGAACGGTGAAATTGCAGTCAGCCAGCAGTCAGCAGAAGTAGCCTGCAGTACTGCACTCTAACCACTGCACCACTCTAAATCACTATGTTTCAAAGGTGTATAAATATCTTTAAAAAACAGCCAACAACATCCCCTCCTCTTCCAGTGATAGCTTGCAAGATTTAGTGAAGAATCTGGGTTGTTGGTTTTTGTTTTTGTTTTTAAAAAAATCCTATTGAAAAAAACTTGCTGAAAGGAATACACTGTCAAGAAAAATAGAGATTAAGTCCTAAGAGAAGAGCTTTATACTGTTACATCCTTCTTTAAAAGGCAACAAAAACTTATAAAATAGCATTTAGAATCATACAATGATAAAATAAATACTTCATGAAAGTATTAAAACTGTCATAAGAGAAAAACACTACAAACATCTGCAAAATCTTAGGCACACTGTGTTGGTTTAACTAACCCCTTTCTGGGAGCTGTGCAAACTCAACACAGAGAGAGAGAGACTTGTACAGTATGACCAGCTGCATTTCCACACCAGCCAATGTGGTCAGAAGAGTTCATACACAGAGTTTTATTTCCCCTCAAGGAAATCTTGGATCCATCAGGTTGACAGTTCAGGGGAAAAAAATATTATTTTTCTGTTCTATGGTTCAGTAGGATTGTGGCTCCTGAATGCTCAGCATCTCATTTTGCTTAGTGGATGGATTGAAGGAACCATAGGTGCCAACATCTTTATTCAGTTCAGTTCAGTTCAGTTGAGAAGAATGGAAAAACTAGGCTGTTTTTGTTTTTCACAAAAGTGGTAGTTGTAACATCTCAGTTTTATAACTCCTTGCTTACAATGTTCTGTTCGCTCTTCCTAAAATGAGGTTTCAGTTTCCTTTCGATCAATTTGCTGTGACTGAATGAACAACACAACCAGTGGCTTTTTAAAAGAAATGCAATTGGCTAGATAACCTTATAATTCATCACTCAAAGCTGAAGTACCAATAGTGGTGCTTTCCTCTGGTGTTTTTTGCCCAATATCTGTTTAATGTTTCAAACCCTTTTTTTCTTGGTTTCAGCTGCAGCGATTGGTAATGGGACCTATTTTGCCGTCAAGTCAAACTATTCTGCACAGGACACGTATTCCACTCCAGACCAAAGTGGCAGAAAATATATGTATGTTGCACGTGTTCTGACTGGAGATTATTGCATTGGCAGATCAGGACAGATTATACCACCATCCAAAAATAAGGCTGGATTTGATTTATATAACAGTGTAACTGACAACATGAATCGACCATCCATGTTTGTTATTTTTCACGATGCTCAGGCTTACCCAGAATATCTAATTACTTTTAGAAGATAAGTTAACAGGCAAAAAGATTATTTCTCTTTCCTGTCACATTAAAAGCAAGTAATTTGTATGAACCTCTTTAAATACTTGTCACTTGAATCTCAATTCATTATTTAGTTCCTCTCTAGAGCGGCAAAGACTAAAATAAGAATAAAATCCAGTTGTTTTCAGACATTGCCATTAAGAGCCACATCTACCTGAGGAACTTCGCAAGTCAGAAAGTAGTAGCCAAAAAGAGCCAGAAAGGGCGTTGGTACTTACCTGATACGCCTCTTCTAATAGAGTGGAGATAGCATCCACTTATGGGTTAACCCTGTCCATTCTCCGATTGGACTGAGCCGGATTAATAATTAATTAGCCACCTATATAACCCATCTCTCTGAGTGACTCCACCCAGCTTTGCGACCAAGAACAAAGACACAGACTCCACGTGTTAGCCAACCTTCAATTTTAGTAAATCATGTAGTGCAAAACCAACAAGAAAGTCCACAAGCACAAATAAGGTAATGAACAACAACATCATCAACCCTATTCCCAGTAAGCATGAAAAAACAGTCTCCATACAGGGCAGGGCTGTATGCCCTTTCTCAATAGAGCTGGAGATAGCATCCACTTATGGGACATACCCAAGCTAGTCCTCATAGGGAGGGAAGAGACTGTTATGGACTGCTTGCAGAACCCTGTGGCCAAAGGCAGCGTCTGCCAAAGTGATTTTGTACAGCTTATAATTCTGAACAAAGGGCGAGAGGGTTGCCCACACCACTGCCCTGCAAATCTCCTCCAGGGAGGCCTGAGTATTTCACGCTGCAGAAGTGGCCGAGCTTCTGGTGGAATGGGCCGTAATCCCCTGTGGGACCGGCTCCTCGTTGGAGAAATAGACTGTGGCGATACATTTTCTAACCCATCTACCTATGGTAGTGACCAAAACCCTCTGCCCCAGAACGGAAGGCTGAAAAGAAACAAAGAGGCGTTCTGTCTTCCGCAAATCCGATGTTCTCTGGAGATAGGTTTGAAGGGCCCGCTGGAAATGTAACATATGCCACTGCTCCTCTAAGGGTCTCGAAGGCAAGGGATAAAAATCATAATAGAATTTCTTGTGCCCGATGGAACCATGAATTGACCTTGGGGCGGATGGAGGGGTCAAGCCTGAGGACCACCCTATCATAAAAGGTGCACAGACCCTCCCCAATGGATAGTGCCTGG